TAATATATCATAATGTATTATAATACATTCTGGCGATCAGAGCAGCTCTACTCAACAGCCAGAACAGTGCGGAGGATGCATGCAGTAGGCCCGAGTGATAGGAGAGGCTTCTGAGACTGCCACATAGAGTCAGTTGATCATGCTCGTTGTACATCATGGTAAGCAAGCTGAGCAGCCGATGGAACAGATACATGGCTTCAGAGGCTATGCTTTCAACAGAATGCAGCTCCTTAGCAGCCCCTCTGTTTGTTGTTGGACATATTTCTCGTGAAGGTGTGGGTCCTTTTCCATATTTGGGGATGGAAAAATTGGGCTACTCACGAATTCCCGACTTTTGCTCGTTTGGCTCATGTCTTACTGGGCATGGAGCTGGCTGTGTCATGCAGGCACTTCACATGTCACAACAAGCTGCGGGGCGGCCTTTTTGCATGCCGTTGAGTTGCAGGCAAATCAGCTGTGCTGTCTCCACGCGGAAATGCTTGAGCCAATTGCTGGAGCCTAGAGCACTTCTCCAAGCCGGCCTATGGGTACCTGACAGTTGCTGGCATCTGGAATGAAGCTCCATGCCCTATGTTAAGCACCAGGGCTTTCTCCTGCGGGCTTTGGCAGTCGGAGTCGGAGTTCATGTTGCCACTTCGGGCTGAAAGCGTTGGTCGTTATCGAACAGCAGCGGTGAGGTGGTCAAAGGCATCCTGCAGTCAGATGCCACGCGGCTCAAGCATTCTCTTTCCCCCTCGCCTTGACGCGCTGGAAAAGCTTCTTGGCCTCGTCCTGGCGCAGAAACTCAAACCCCGCTCGGAGCTAAAAGAAAGCTGTTCATAGAAGGTGCCTGAAAGCAACGGATAGCTGCGTGCTGGAGCGGTGAAGCCCATCTAGGCTTATGGGTTCTTCGGGAAAGCGCCATGTTCCAAGGATGTCAACCTGCCAATCATTGGAGTCACGGTGCTCATCTTGGACCCTGGTTTGGCCAACCATCCCTTTAAGGCTCTTACATATCCCTTTATATTCTCTACATATCCCTGCGTGCCCCCCGAATCCATTCCCACAAATTCCACGCCCCAAAAATATGAACCCCCCATACTCTCAGCAGTGGCCTGGCGGCTGTGGTTCTGCTGCCGGTCTGGATGGCACTCCATTGCGGCTTTACGGTACCTTAGTCTCCCAAACATCTTACGTCTTATGCATGGGCAGTGGTATTGAATCGGAAGGCATGCCGGAATTGCATTGGGC